AAAGTTCATTACCCTAGCTTCTATTCTAATAAAATACTGTCTTTATAGTTAAAAAGCCCTACTTTGTCTATGTAATGCATCATAAAATTTACATACACAAATTCAAGTACACATCTATATATACACACACACCTGTAGCATTGATATGAGCTATTTTTATTTTTCATTCACTTTGATGCCACTGGAGATCCTAAAACTGTTTTGTAAAAACTACTGATAAAAATCATGTTTGGCATGAAGACTATCATTTTGCTACTGATGATTATGAGAAAAAATATGAATTAGATAGTCCCTCTTTGCCTATCACTATATGATTTTAAATTCAGTGACAGACACGCATTGAAAAAAAAGTAAATGAGATGCACAAGGGATTAAAACTTTTTCAGAGATGTTAACAAAAAAAATATTCCAACAGTTCATGCAGTACTGGAAGTTTAAAAAGCCCAAAACAACCAATATTGCAAGGTGAGAAAAACAGGTCTAAGGGCTTCTTATCTTCAAATGCTTTTCTCATTTTCCCACTATTGCACCAAGTTATTAATCTATAATGAAGAAGAAAATGTTTATGATTAAACACAACTTGAAGCCATTTTTAATATATCTAATATCCTTCCAGAGAAACAGCACTGGCTGGATAAAAGCCTTTGGAAGACGCACCTGCATAGATCTTCCACCACTAATTTCTGAAAATATATCTAACACTTCCAGAAGGTATCCTCTTTTAATGCTTTCCATTTCATCTTCTTTTGAGATTTATTTAATATAAAACTGTAAATGTGGTTCTAGGTTGCAATAGAAATGGTTCAGAATGACAGCTGATTTGAACACTTTTGTACCAGCTGCATGGTACAAAGACAGGATCTCTATCTCTGCCCAGCTGAGAAAGAGTAAATGGACACATACAAATGGGCTGTAATGTTGGCTCTGGGAGCTGATGGAGTTCAGCTCTTCTCAGTAACACCTAGTCAGAGGGTTTGTTATGGCTGCAGAGATTAGTCTTTGCTGTCCTAACACTGATAAAGAGCTAAGAGCTAAGGCACACAGCTCCTTTGAGAATCCCCTTTTTTCTCATAGGATTAGAAGCAGATTAACACTATAGAGAAGCCAGAACAAAATTTTCTAAAATATATAAATCAGTACCTAAAGTCTGATAAAGACTTCATTCAGAGGCAATCACACTGATATTAGAGTTGCACCTGCCTGCAAGTACTGCCAACTAATGTCCCTGCTGAGATATTGGAACACATAAAATAATACATTTAAGACTATGCCACTCTTTCTTCAAACCATGATTCTTAAATACACACTCACATGCCTAAGTAAAAGTGAAATACAAAGATGGAATTGCTGGCTGCAAAAAATAACTCAAAAAAGTAGGAAGTAAAATGATATATACATAGGTATAGTAATAGCAATACATAGCAATGGATGTATAAACATATACACATACAGGAATACATTTACACATAGATTTTTTCAGGACAAAGTGTTTTAAGAAGTTGGTCTGATGAGTATTTCTCAGTCAGTGCAAGGTTCCATTGGTAAACCCTTCAGAAATCCAGGAAACTTTTATTACAAAGATTACAAATTCTAAGAAACTGTCACAAATTTGAGTGATTCAGTGAATGCAGACCATGTTATAGGCCTAGGAACAGAAATTACAAAATCAAGTAGATCTATAGTTGGAGGCTGTTGCAGTCAACCATGTGAAAATTTAAAGGAATGTCAGTCTCATTTATACACCTCACTGATGCCAGACAGTAATTTGCAGCCACAGGCTCCTTCCTAGACCTAAGACTGTAATCATCATATTGTGTTATTATAGAATTTGACTGCCAGCCAGGAGCTGGTACTTGATCACACTTACATAGCAAGCAAAAGTTGTGGACTCAGTGCCCACAGGAGTTGTGTATTCATGTAAGTAGAGTATTGGCTTCCAGTCCCTGCCCTCAGGGATTACTACTTCTGCCTTATATCCAATGGCTGTTGAAAGCATAAGCAAGCTCCTTCTACAGGATTCAGAACCAAAGTTTTATTTCTTGTGACAACTCCCATTTCCCTGGTAAGCACCAATTGAAGGACAACAAATGAATCCTTGCCTCCATCTCTCTCCAGTTCTCTGATTAATTGCATTCTTTCGCAGACATTTTCACTAGAATAGTATGTCAGATATAGTGAAACTTCATGATACTTAAGGGTTCCCAAAATTAGTTTGGGATAAGGAATATCCATGAGATTGCATACATGGATCTACAGATATTCTGCTTTTTAGCTGTATTCAGAGCAAGACAGAAACACTTTGGTCACCTGTGTGTCCTAGTCTAGGTTCCTGTGTGACCTACTCTAGGTGATCCTGCTCTGGCAAGGGGGTTGGACTGGATGATCTTTCAAGTTCCCTTCCAACTCCTAATATTCTGTGATTTCTGTGACTCAGATGAGGTGAAATGCCATAGATCTGGGTGCATAAAGATGAAAACCTTCAGGAGTCTTAGAAACTACTGTAATAATTACACGAATAATCAAGAAGGGAATCTCAAGTCATCAAAAGAAGTTAAGTGAGCACAGGATAGCTGACGGAGATTTCATACAAAAGTCTACCTACGTTTCTCTCTAGTTGACATACTTTTAAAAATTACCTACAGAATATTCTTATGATGGGAATTTCACAGTTCTCAGGCTTTGCAAAAATATTGTCAAGGAAAGGAATTCGTTCCACAATCATAAACGCAATAATTCATATAAAGAAGGCCTGATGTGTAAATAGTGTAACAGACTTCTTACAACTACTTAGAGGCTATGGAAGAGCACTGAAAGTTAAAAGCCCTAAAATAGCTATCAAACTGTGTTCTGAGAAAAAATGTTCTATGTATCTGCTGAAACTAAATTAGCTAAGCTGCCTTTTACTTGAATGTCTAGAGACCATCTATATTATCATTTACACAGGCATATCATGTTTCTCTGAGTTACAGCAGCTGTGGCAATAATATGGAATACTTTAAATAATTGTAACAGGTTAAAGTTAGATTGCCTTGCAAAACAAGTAAGATTTGCTTTTCAAATATACAAAATTTAAAAATGGCTTATCCCTTCAATTTACCTAAATAAGGTTTTCTTTATTTTTCTACTTGATAAATATTTGTATTTCCTCAGGACAAAAAGCTTTCTTACATTTCTTTTACCCTTTTCTTTTTCGATCATGTACTGAAATTTTATTTCTGAATTATTGAAATCACAAGGCACTATCTGTTTAAAAACAAGTATACAGGGTCTATTGAGGCCCTGAATTTCAATTAAGATGCAAATCAACTGTCACTACTGCAATTCAAGTGAATAAACCAAACTTTTATCATTGAATCGTAGAATGTGTTGGGTTGGAAGGGACCTTTAAAGGTCATCTAGTCCAACCTCCCTGCAGTAAGCAGGGACATCTTTAACTAGGCCATGTTGCTCAGAGTCTCATCAAGCCTGACCTTGAATGTCTTCTGGGATGGGGCCTCCATCACCTCTCTGGGCAACCTGCTTCAGTGTTTCACCACCCTCATGGTGAAGAACTTCTTCCAAATGTCCAATCTAATTCTACTCTGCTATATTTTTAAGACGTTCCCCCTCATCCTATCACTACACAGCCTTGTAAACAGTCTCTCTCCAGCTTTCTTGTAGGCCCCCTTCAGGTACTGGAACTGGTTCTGAACCTATTAATGAATTACAAATGCCTATCTCTTTCTATAAATGCAACAGTGCTTCTGATATCAATAAATTGTTATGAAATATTAAAAATTATTACAGAGATCTTAAGATAGCTTTCCTGAAAATATATTTGTAGAAAACTTGTAATAGACAGAAAAAAATTACTCAGTTATTTCAAACTTTTCTGATTACACAGTAGACTATTACTCATCATTCAAACTCATTGACACTTTACTTACATCAATGCTAGTAAGATGGTCAGATTGAAACACAAGTATTGATATGGTTTACGTTTTAATACATTGGCCAATATATTTATCTGGCAAGATTTTAATTTGATTCTAACACCCTAATAGTTCAATACGTGGCATAGAGAAAGTATTATGTTAGAGGACTTAGGACCTGATTTTAAAATGGTAACGATGACACTGATCTAATTTGGAATTTATTATTAAAGATACCAGGTAATAATTGAGATTAAAAGTTTGAAATCTCTTCCTCATAATATTTGCTTTGTAGAAATTAAAACTACCATCATATTTTAGGTTTATAATGATTGAGATAATTTTGCTTTGTTACATCAAAATATAACTTCACATTGGGAAGCATTAAAACTTGATAAATTAGTTACTGAAACACACTCACTGGTAAATGCTATGTGGTTTTCCTTAAAAAAATTCAAAGCTTCCTGTTTACACACTTAGAAATATGAATATTTTAATATATATTTGAATATATGAATGAATGTATTATGAATATATGAATGAATATCTCTATATATTTCAAAGCTTGTAAATAGGTCTAATAGAAGGATGTACACTCACCAAGTTAGGGTGACTCAGTAACACAGTATCTAGACAAGACTATTTGAAGTCTTAACCTCATCAGACACTAAAATAAATACCCTTATTACATGTGTATCTTGAAGTATATGTAGAGATATTTTGAGTTGGACCAAAGTCAAGAATTCTAACAATTAAGTTGGTTACAACAGACAAACAGGCAGCACAAGGTGACTTAAAAATGTATAGCAGGTGGGTGTATCCTAAATACTATAATTCTTGTTAACTTCTATCATCTGAGTTGAAAATTCAGTGTTCGTTCTGTACTTACAAATGACTCTATTACTAAGAGAAAAGTAGGAATCGAGGTGCCATTTAAGAGCTTTGAATCCAGTCTTTGGTCCTAACAGAGTATGGGGTCTCAGGCTTTGTCAGTTAAAGACTTCAGTTACCTCATATTCAACTACACACATTAGCATACTATGAGTAGCAAACAATTCATAGAGAGAAAACATTCTAAAATTAACTTACCTGTAATAATGTTGGGCTTTGGTGGCATGCTGAATTCATACAATGTTGGTTCAGAATAACCCAGTCTGTTGGCAGCTGTAATTTGTACTTCGTAACCCATGGTCCATTGAAGATGCTCTAAGATGATGTGGTCTCTACTGCCCTGCACCTTTTTCTCTAGCCACTGGTCTTCCTTATCTTTCTGTAAAGATGCAAATACTAGTTTAAATTCTCAAAAACTCTAGCTAATTGTCTAAACTATGTGTCTACATGATGCACAAAAAATATGGCGTTTCACTTAGAGAGGTTATGAACATTCAATCAATCTTATTGTGGAGTCCTGAGTATTTCGGCTTTTTGTAATTTTGACCACTTCTAACCATGTTTCCACAGTGTGGACTTAAGGAGTTTTCAGGCAATCACTTCTAATTTTTTGGCTTCAATTTATATTTTCTTAAATACTCATGTTTATCTTGGATAACAGCAGGAAAATTATTTGCAAATGCTTCTAAGAATAAATTCTGTGAATTTTTTATTTTATATAGATGTTTCAATTACATTGTAATAAATGTTTTTTAAAAGAAACTTTCCATTAAACCCAAACTTGATTTGATCATGAATGCAAGATGTGCTTGTATCATACTTAAGTTATATAATGAAAACATACACTAACAGTAGCAACATAGGGTAGTACAGTAACATTTTCCAAACCAGGTTGTATGCAACAATATAAACAGCACTGAGAAAGTATGCAGTCTTGAGTCTACAGTGGTAAGAGGATACATTTAAATCATTAAGATGGTGTTCCAGAGAAAAAAAACCAAACCAGTTCTCATAATTCAGATAATTATCTAAGACACCCATACAAAGGGAACAAGTGAGGACTTAATTTGCAGTCTTAATTCTGGGATTTCATAAATTTGGAGTGCTTACCTTTGCAATTGCTCCTTTTAGTGGATAATTAATTTAATTATTTTTTATACAAATTAAAATTACAAAATAACTGATAGGTAAAAGGATAACACAATGTATACAGTAAAACACAAAAACCATCTTGTTCCAAAGAGTATAAATTACAGTCAGTAAGAATCCATGCAGTCCTACTCTTACTAAACACTGAGGTAAAACACAACGGCAAAAACTATGACTGAGGACCAAATCCTGGCCATCCAATCCATAAGCAACACATATCCAGTCAGTGGATATGAATTTCTGGGATGAAAAAGTCTTCAAATACAGGGAATTACAACTTTTTGCTGCAGACTACTATTCTTCTCAGCAGCTTATATTTAGGCTTTTTGCTGAAGCATCTTGCTCTTGACTGATACATGTGTCAAAGCAAATAGCATTTAAATTAGGCAGTTCAGGGCCCAATCATGCTGCTTATACCTAGGGGTTTTTTTGTCCCCAGTCTTCAGAAAATAAAGTGACACACTAAATTCCCTTATATGCAGTGCTGTAATAACTATCAGTGCTGAGTGTGATGTGTATTTTTCTGGGTTTTTTTGCTTTTTGGGTTTTTTGGGGTTTTTGGTTTGGTTTTTTTTCCCACCTTCTATTAAACTCTTCCTTGCTTCTTCTGCACTGGGATTGGTACTGACACATGATAATCCTGTTAATAATTAAAATACAGTGAAACATCCTTTCAGGAACATTTTCAGCAAGATGAAAGTGCATACTTGGTGCAGCAGTAGACCAATGAAAAGCTTCAAAATGGTAGTCACAGTACAAATCATGCAAATCCTAAATATACTTATACTGGAGTAAAAATACTCATCTTACAGTGAAACTGGTATTTTCTGTCAAGGATATTTTCTCATATTGTCATGGATAATTTCTGTTGGAATCATCTGACATGCCACTGGGTGAATCCACCTATATTTACATGCCACTGAGTGAATCCACTTATATTTTCCCTATATCAAACTATTTTACAAAATATATTTTTGTATAGCACTGCTAAAATAAAAGAAATTAATACTTATTGCAACATGCATATGCAAATATTGCTTAGTAATATTACAAATAGCAATGTTAAGTAGCACCCTATTTAAATGACTGTTTAAAATGGTGAGGTTTGGGAGAAGCTAGAAAAAAAAACAACCTAGATTCAAAAAAATGTCAACATGAGAGAAATCAGAAGATCCATGTACAATCTGTGTGTGTGCACATACAACCATGTGAATATACGGGGGATTTCCCCATATATTGTATTTAAAAAAAAAGACTCCTGCTAACATGATTCCTGCAGGTGGAAAAGACATAATTGCAAAACAGGTATGTGACTACATTTTGAAAACAAATGGTAGAGTTATATGTGATCAATATTATGAGCTTAAGATTTCAAAGGAAAACTATATAGATTTCTGTATGGGGCTGCTCCTCTGCAGACATAAAAATAAGTGAAAAGGCAGTTGTTCCACAGTTTGGTCAGGTGAAGAATAATGAAAGAGCTGAAATGTAACAGGATACCTGTATGCTGTGCCAGAAAAGTGACACCTTAAGTTTAGTTAAATGTGAAGCCAACTGGGTAGACTGAGGTAAATGAAACAAAGTCCAAACCTTGTGGTCAAAGACAACAAAACGCTTTACAGAAAGTGACAAACACAAGTTAGGAGAAAGAAGAATTAAAAAAGCATCTGGAAAGCTAGTTGTCATCTAGAGATAAACAGATGAAAACTTTCAGAATACAGTCTGCTTTTGGCATCTTAAAGAAAAAAAAAGAGAAAAAAAAAGAATTGCAATGTCCTTCATTATTACTGTTATTTCATATGAATTTTCAAATAATTTTTACTAAGTAGAGCTCAGTAGTGTGTTCAGATTTATTTTACTATCAGGGTAGGAATGGAGAGGGATGAGAACACAAAACAAGATCCTGCCAGTTAAATCTTCCTACAAATCTCCCTGCTTATGCTAAGACCCTTTAATTAGTAGCTTAAGAAAGCAGAACTACAAAAGAACCTTTCACACCTTATTAGGCTGTTCTATTATTAATACTGCTTAAAATTTATACAAATCTCTACATAGGCACAGTGTTCTACAACAAATGAAAGACACTTCTAAATCATGAACTATGGCCTAATTCGTGGAGTGAGTTAATGTGTCTTCAATAATCATATACTATTAGCATTAATATTATCATTAATATTCACCAACAAATGCACATTTTCAGAAACTGCAATCATATCTGCAGACTCAGAGTTTAAACTGATCCTTTATTCACATTTCATTTTGTTTCATATAATGTGGAAATATTGCTTTAGAAAAAGTCACTGATGCCGTGAGACTAAGCAACAACCAGCAATTTCTGGGGATTGTACTGCCCACATCCATTACCATTAAGCCTTAGATTCACACTATCCTCTTACCAGTATAAGTCTTTGGTTGAAAAACACCTTTGATAATGCCACACACATTGTAAAAAACAAACAAAAAAATCCCCAACAAAAATATGTCTTAATTGTGTGTATATTGGCTTTAAATATACACATTAGCCAAATTTATCTCAGAAGTGTCTAAGAGCTATATCTGGTAAGACAAAAGTGAGTAACCTAAGCACTTAAGTACCCTGAAAAAAAGAAAGAGTAAACAAAGCAGTGTGAAACTCCAGTCTACCATGACTCGGCTGCTTCTTAAAACTAGGGGAACATCTGACAACAGCAGAAGTAAAGCCAATCCCCTGTTTAGGCACCTAACTATTTACAAGTCTAGAAAATAACATCTCTCTTTAATGGTCATTTTACATTGTACCTAAAATTGCAGTCTCTGAGAACTCATAAAAAGTGAGGAAAAGTGATTAACTCCCTTGAACCCTTTCCCTTACTCTTCATCCTCCCTAAATTGTTGTACTGAAGGTTCAGCTCAAACAGACTTGTTATTACGGTGGTCTCTGTGATAAAAAAAGGCAGGAGATGCCATACTATCTTGAGAATTGGCAGGAAAATATATCAAGAAATCCTTACAGAAGACAATCTGATAGTTTAGAGCAATAATTTCACAAGAATTCATTACATTAGGATGGTGCTTTTTAGGTCTGACTAATACAGGACAAATACTGAACAAAGCGAAAAATGGCTGATAAGGTACAATGGTGTTAAAATGCACAAGAAGTCCAAGGATCTGGCAGGTAAAGTGGAACTTAGAGATGCAAAAACATTTAACTGTTTTATAGTAGGTATCTCAGAGTGGGAGCAAATGAGAAACTATTTATTTTTAAATTATTTGTATTTACAGAAGTTTGTTCTAGAACCTATCATAAAGCAACAAAATGAACACAGTCCTCCATCAACATAGACAAGAGTGAAGCACATAACCTATCAATCAAACATTTGTCACTGTCAAAATTCAGAGCATTAATAGTAACACTGTCACAAGTGTCTTCATTTAGTCTGTTGTTCTGTTGCTCTATGACCCCTCTCTATTCCAGGAGGGTGATCGGGAAATGAAAGGAGGTCCATGGGTTGAAATGGAAACAGATTAAATAAAAAGTAATCAGAAACTAATATTAATACCAATATTAATATAAAATATACAAAGTTATACTCAGCCCATATAGTGGTCGCAAGCTGTGTGCACCCAGCAGTGATGTCAAACACTGCGAGTGCCACAGCTCCAGCAAGCGCATGACAGTCACAATGAACAGAGGAGTAGGCCTCAGGAGAAGAATAATGGACGAGACACTTTGGGGATACGTACTATTGAGGAAAGAGGGCTGTCCCCAGCAAACTCTCCAATTGATATTGAACGTGATGTTTATGGTGGGGATACTTCTGTTGGCCAGCTTGGGTCAGCTACCCTGGCTTTTTCTTCTCCTGAATTCTGCACCTGTCTAACTAACAACAGCTAAAGACCTTGATCACGAAGGCAACATGTATACCAGGGCTGCCCAAAAACTAAAACAAAGTGCCTTATCAAATTTTTTCCATTGACTTGACGGCTGTAGTCTTCTCAAAAATGCAGCTTTCCTGAATAGAAAATTGATTCTGTGATTCTATTCCAGTGAAATCACGACATCAGGTCAAAATGGTGAACAACTTTTAGGCCTGCAAAAACTAATCACTCTTCTAACATTTCCTTCAAACATCATTATGGACATAAAAAGGAAAAAATAAATTAAATGCTGTTATTTTTTATCAAAATAGCATTTTAATAAATTTTTATTGCTTCTTCCTAAAAGTTAATAACCATAAAAGATGGATATTT